GATGACTGTGCTACGGTGCTTGATAATTATCCCCAGGTCATGATAGAAATTCACCATGGTGGTAAACTCTTTCTCATTATGGATGAAGCACTTCTCCTTGGCAAGGGTCCGTAGTTCCGTTATATTCAGGAAATAATCTGGCTTGGGCTTGGAAAGTAAAGCGTTGATGACCTTCTCAAAGTGTAACCATCTAGTTAATAAAAGCAAAGAAAAAATTGATAGCGCGCCTTAAAGTAACCATGACACAGCATACCCGTACCGAGTAAAGTACAGGGCCTCGTTGTGCGAAAGGAGGATATCTCCATCCAATGGATAAATATCTGTCCAAAATCCAGCAGATAGTGCCATTACGTTTCCTAATATTTTTCCTCTGTAATAATATATTGATTCATTATTTGAACAACCGGGGACAGAAGCATGCACACGTTCCAAAACATGACTGCTGACTTGTGAAAAGCCGTGAAAAATTTTTATTAGTATTAGGTCTCTTGCATGATGGCGTCATTTTACTACAACTACCAGAATCCTTTCGTTTTTTCTTTCATATTTAAATTTTGTAATCCCAGTGAGGTTTAAATAACAAAAGCCTTAATTTACACAAGAAAGCAAAACCCTGAAGGATTCTGGTCGTAGTAGTAAAATGATGTCATAGTGCAAGTGGCCTATTGATGGTCTTTTAAAGTTAAAATGAGATAAAGATAAGATCATATGAGCTTAACTAATACAGTTGGTCATGTTCGAAATGGTTTCCCTGTGCAGGTATGCAGTTTACTACAGATTTAACGGGTGTATGATCCACTTCACTTTTACCTTTTTAAAACAATGAAATGAACACAGTGCTTTTCGGCCAATTCGAACTAAGATTATCAAACCCTTCAGGGTAGAATATTCTTTAAAACCAGTCAAAACTGCTTTTCATGGTTAACTTGTTTCAGTCAACGAGATATTCTCATTTCTTATGACCGCCAGGTGGCTCGCACAGGAATCACTTTTTTTTTTCTACAATGAACCAGCCTTAAGATGTTTTGCGTCCACGCTTTTATGTAGGGTCACAGTCAATGAGTTGCTGATGACACCTGAAATACATCACATATCAAAGAACAATTCTTACAAGGACTGGCGGAAACAAACGCCATACCCATAAACCGCAATTTCAGTGCGTTCATAGTTCAACCCTTGACATGGAAACTAAATTTGATATTTACTTTAATGGATTCTGTTCTTGTATAACCATTATTTACCTCAAATTTATCCTCTCCCCAATGTAAGGCTCCTGTCTTAGCACTTCCATGATTTTTACTTGCAGAGCTCGGATGTCATCAATGTTTTCATCTTTCCCGAAAACCTTTTTCTGGATTTTTCTTTGAGTTAATTTTGCAGTGTTGTCAATGCTGAAGATAGGCCGCACCACATGTCCTTCATAGTCCTTACCAGCAATTGCGTTCTCGATTTCTGTTTTCATTGTTGCAATGTCTTCAAATGGTTTGTCTGCATGGGTTCCTACAATGATCACTGGGGGGCGCAAATGAGGCACCTCTTCTTCTACATCAGCACAGGTTTCTCTTCTCATCTGTGCAACGCTATGCACTGTGGACAGCCAAGACAACAAGTTCTCAAGATTTGTCTCTCCATTTGGGTTTTCCAAAGGAACATTACGAGATCCTTGCCTCACACAGGGTTTGGCTGTGTCACGCAGTGACTTGCTGAGGTTGCACACCAAGATGTACAGCGCACGTGATGTTAAAAATACAGGATGAGATGCATAATACAGGTGTTGTCCGGCAAAATCCCACAGTTCAATACTGACAACAGATTCTTCAGCCTTAACATCTTCACCTTGCAATTCCCTTCTTAATCCTACAGCTCGTTCCTTGATCTCATCTGGAGATAAAGTAGTATCAACCACTAACTCATGATCAGGTCCTGTTAACGTGGGTTCACTAACACTGTCTTCGTTTGGATCGCAAACCTGTAGCAGAGTAGGAAAAAAAAATAACCGTCGATTCTGATTCTGAAAGACTTAAACATAGCAGGTACGAGTTTTTCGATTATTCAGCCATTTAAAGTTGTTTTTGATGACAAAAAAATTCTTAATAAGCTCAAACATTGAGGCACGATTATTGGAGGCATAAGGTACCCAAAACATTAATATGCTCTTAATTTTTTTAAGGAACAGTAAATTTAAGAATATATAGGAAAATGGTGTTTGATTCAATGCCCCCAGCCCCTTGGCTTTGCTCCTCGTATAAAGAAAAGAAAACAAGCGAAATTGTGATTAACAAAACAGAAAAAAAAACTAACCGAAAGCTATACTCGAGGCCTAATTAACACTTAAAAGTATACATCAAGATACGGCTATACTCACTTTGGTTTGCACACACATTACAAACCCAAAGGCTAAGTTTACGTGTAGATGGGTACAATCATGGAAATCTAACTAGATGGTTGATATTAGTATCATTCAACACTCGGAACTGAACTTACTAGATTAAAACGTGAAATTTTTAACTAGCACAAGGAAACAATCCGGGAATTATTACATATTTTCATACGGACATTGTAGCAAGGGGCAGGAAAGCCGTGGTCATAAATGTCTCAATAAAACCTGACTTATCAAGGCGATAATCAATTCATCATAATTACTGTTAGTCCGTTCTTGCAGTAACGATGGATTCAAGAAAAAAGATCACATTTCAAAACCAACAAAGACAAACCTGGTTCACAAGAGAAACTTCTTCCTTTTCTCTATCAGTATCAACCTGTTTCCTATTCTTGTTATCATCACTTTGAGGTTTTGCTTCACCTCTTTCCTCTTCCCGAACCCAATCACGGTTAACTGAAATATCATACATCTTTTCCACCACCACCTGTGCCACATCTCTCGAACATCCCAGGAATCCTTGTTTTCTCTCATCAATAGGTTGCCAATTCCTGACTTCATCAACGTCCAACTGAAATTTTGAAGGATCCACTTCAATTCCATCAGTACTTTTTTCTTTTCGATTAAACGGTAGACCAATAAGAGACTTCTTCAAACTTGTTTTTCCTGCCCGATCCTGCCCAATAAGAAATACTCGACCACGGTAAACATTAATGGCTCCATCTTTAAGAGCACTTTGATAAGCGAGTTGTGCTTTTTCTCCACGTGCTTCTATTTCTAAAGGAGCTAGTGAAAAAAAAGGATGATTATTAAATGTAAGTAATGTCTTAGAGGTTGCGTGTTTCATTGGCTTCTAGTTCACTTGACTGACCTAGGAGGTCAAGGGGGGAGAATTAGTCCTTCACCAGTGTTAATTGTCCTTCTTGTGATCTTTCAGTATAGTCTTTTAAGTTATTGAACCAAATCTATGGTAAACATAATTTTACTGAATTTCGCATGTGACAGATATAATTAAATGTTGGTTATTTTTGATACTGTTAAACAATCCACCTGCTATTTTAAACTTTTTTTTTACTACGCTTACTTCAAGTCTCCATGCATGTTCAATACACCATAAATGGTGCGTAAAAATTAGTGTTGTGTTTTCATCACCAGAATTATAAGTGCTGTTTGCATTCATGTGAAATACCTGTCCCTCTAAAAGATACAATTATTCTGAACATCAACAATCTTACTTCGTTCCAATAAGCGCCCACTCTCTAATAAGTACCCCTATTGCATAAGCACTCTCGTTCCAGCCCGGGGGGGTACTTGGGTTAATTTTTGTTAGGTATGTGCCACTCGCTGGCCTCTCAAAACCCCGAAACCATTATAGTCTATACTGTGGCCATATTAGGCAATTCACTTACTATTACCGTACATGCTGACAGGGAAAACAACAAAAACTAACTTGCAAAACAAACCTAAGTGAAGCTAAGTGTGACTTATAACTTTGTTAAATGGTATAACAAAATTAATTTCAGACCAGTTATAGTTTAGATCACGAGAAGTGCTTTCTCAGGCTTAAACTCAGCAAACCAAGCCACATTTTCTAATTTGAAACGTGAACAACGAGCTTACTGAACAGCTCAAAACTCTTCATCCTTAACGGTCTGTTTATTGTTCTGTAACAATATTTTTTTTCTATTTAATACGTATAGTGTTCAGCGGCCAAACTTCCATAATAATAACATTATAATATTACATCATCCATTAAGTGAAAAATGGCTTTAAGACTCTGCGGTTGTGTTTTCACTGAGATAATTTTAGCTAGATAAAGCCAGAAAAGTCCAGAAATACAGTTAAAACACCTCGTCTTGTGTTAGCGAGTTAAACATGCTCACTGTTTTTTCGGCTTTATGACCGAAGAATTACGCAAAGTTAGACAACCTCGCGAGATGGTAAAACTTGTCCTGATAAATACCGCAGCCAATCGCGTTGCGCGTTGTGACAGACACCTGCCAAATGACCGGCGAATTTAATGAACATTTTACTAGAGGCTGTAGTGAAGGGCTTCCAACAGTGCCCATTTACAATAAGGACGGGTCAATCTTTTGTCCTCGATGAGTAAATCGACAATTAAAAGGTAAGACTTTTAATTACTAATTCGTAGCCAGTGGTAGCGCAAACGTATCTGAAATCATTATTAAAGGGTTACAATTGACAATCTATAAAATGGATGAAAATTGATAAAAATTCACAAAAATTGATACTCACAACTCTTTCGATCTTCGATATTTATCGATTACCGATATCAATCGCTTAATTAGTATCGTTTAAAATCGAATAGAATCCATTATTTCGATCAACGAGTTTCATCGATTTGCCACGGCGGGTTAAACCCACGCTACTTTACGGTAATTATTGCTGTTTTGCTGTTACATTTTGAAACAGGATTATAACATTACTTCCTATCCTCTTACTCTTTAGAGACACTATTCAACTGCATTCATAAAATAGCGAGAATCATTAAACGAAAACACATTCAAAGCGCTTCGTTTCCTAACATTTTTAAATGTGGCACGCTTTTTAAATTTGAATCCTCTGAGTTCTTCCGAGCTAACTTTAAAAGTGAAAAAAGCTAGCAATCGTCGGTATGTCAACAAACACCCGCTCAGCAGCAAATCGACCACAGTGAAAACATAGCCTCCCCCGCAGGCGTTTCTAGGAGAGCTCGTATTTCTTCCCTCCCCGAAGAAATGCTAGCCTGCGAAAGGGTGTTTCTAAAACGAAGACCATCTGGACTAAAAGAAAGACCCCCCTGGACTAAAACGAAGACCCATGTGGATTTTAAATTCTTGCGTAATTTGTTACGGCGATTTGGGAATGTTGTGGAATTTTCTCTGCGCTATTTAATTGTGATAGTGAAGTCTATCACTTACCTTTTCTTCAAAAGGTGTTTCCATGTGTCACTTTACAAGTTTCTTCGAAAACAGTTTTGTTTAAGGAAACATTTCTCACAACATCTGTTCGAGAAAGCCTTCGTATCCTGTTGGTAACGCCTGTGGGCGCGACGAAAGTGTAACGGGTTCGAATCTTTCCGAACCGATGTACTTTTCTTCCTTTCCTTTTTTTTTTCTTTTATTTTTTACCACAGTTATCATTATAACATCTGTTTGAGCCGTAAAAGATGAGTCATTTTTTAACAGTAGAGGTCAGAATAAAGTAACAGGGTTATAAATATAACCCGGCATGTATACAAATGAACCATGCTTACATGAAACTCGAAATGTACACCTTTACTCGAGTGATGTTCTCGATCGACGGCTTTTTTTCTTATTGACGAGGTAAAAAGTAATAAAAAGAGCGCGAGGTTTCCCTCTCCTGGAATTCATGAATGTTAAATGTCTCGTTGTTATTTTCTCCCTACGTCGGTTATTTTCTTTTGTAAACGTATTGATCGATACAATTGTTCGACATTTTAGAACGCTAGAGCACGCGGTTATATTTTCTTAGCCGTCGATCGAAGAAAAGGTGAGTGATAGACTTCATTATCACAATTAAATAGCGCAGAGGAAATTCCACAACACTTAATCCACAGGGGTTTCCGTTTTAGTCCAGGGGGTCTTCGTTTTAGTCCAAGGGGTCTTCGTTTTAGTCCAGTGGGTCTTCGTTTTAGTCCAAGGGTCTTCGTTTTAGTCTACGAGGTCTTAGGTCTTCGTTTTTGGGTCTTCGTTTTAGAAACACCACCTGCAAACAGCAGACGTATTTCCGGTCGTCGCTTCTCTCCCTCCGAAAGTTCGTGAAAACACAACCTGTGAGTCATTTAGTAAGGGAGTGATGGAATACAATGTTTAGTGTTCATAACCTTAGATATTACCCTACTCTGGATAATAGCTATTTTTCACAGCCGATTTGAAATTTTAAAACAGACGAATTACTTAAAATGAATTAATACGTACAAGAAACTTATCATTGATTTTGAAAGTACAGTTTGTAGCATATCTTGATTTATCAAACCCAAATATTCGCGAAACCCCCGATAACTGAAAAAAAAAATGACTTCCCTTTCCCAGGCAAATAGTGGAATTTTATCTCGGTTTTTTTCGAACTTCCAAATAACTACAATATCCGCTGTGCTTACCTGCATCATCATATACACGTACTCCTTTTTTCTTTAACTTTAAGGCACGTCTCATTGCGTCAACAGTTAAAGGATTACGCATCACACTCAGTTCCCTCAGCTCCCTGAGGTCACCAATCTCAGCAGGTAGTTCAGTTAGTTTACTTCCATCCAAGTACAGCCTTTCAAGCTTGGTCAGCCTCTGTACACTGGTAGGTAAACCAACCAACTGGTTGTCAGTCACCCACAGCTGCCTCAGCTCCCTGAGGTCACCAATCTCAGTAGGTAGTTCAGTTAGTTTATTTCCATCCAAGTACAGCCATTCAAGCTTGGTCATCCTCTGTATACTGGTAGGTAAACCAACCAACTGGTTGTTCCTCATCCACAGCGTCTTCAGCTCCCTGAGGTCACCAATCTCAGCAGGAAGTTCAGTCAGTCTATTTCCATCCAAGTCCAGCCATTCAAGCTTGGTCAGCCTCTGTACACTGGTAGGTAAACCAATCAACTGGTTGTAACTCACACTCAGCTCCCTCAGCTCCCTGAGGTCACCAATCCCAGAATGTAGTTCAGTTAGTTTATTTCCATCCAAGTACAGCTCTTCAAGCTTGGTCAGCCTCTGTACACTGGTAGGTAAACCAACCAACTGATTGTAACTCACCCTCAGCACCCTCAGCTCCCTGAGGTCACCAATCTCAGCAGGTAGTTCAGTGATTTTGTTGTTATCCAATATAAGCACAATAAGATTTTTCAGCTTGCTGATACTTGCTGGTAATTCAATCAGGTTATTTTTATCCAGCACAAGTTTCTCTGTTTTACTCAGTTCAGTGACTGCATCAGGTACCCTGAAGAGTGTTTTTCCATTCAGACCCAAAACTGCTAATCCATCTTCATATTTTAAGAAAGCTCTCAATTTTGTATTGGAATAATGCTCCATGTTTCAAATTGTTAATAAAAAGTCTCGACAGTTCTTCTTATCATCTAGAAATAACAAAAAGTAACCTAGTATAGAAAAATCAAAATCATATCATCAATAGGTGAATTTTACAGAATTAAAATAAAAGAAATCTAGAACAGATGCTGTTAGTGCATTCAAAAAATCTTTTATTAGCAGACTAGGGTATATATCTAAAAGATAGTAATTATGCTGCGGCACATTCTGTTGATAATGTCATCAGTTAGGCAGTGACCCACCTACTTGCATACGATTTAAAGGAATCGAAAATGATATTGAATGTGTCCTATTTACATGTTGGAAAGTAATAATTACTATCAGTCTACAAAAAAAGTCGTGGGAACCTTGTTAGAGGTAATTTGTGCCTTCTAAGAAATTCAGAAACAATAAACTTTCCCCTTTTCTTGCTGTATAAAGCTCAAGGGTTTCTTTTCTGCTTTTAAGTAGCTCACATTTTCTTCCAAGTGTCTCCTCTTTCTCATTTCAATTCAGTCTAAACTATTGTTGATGGCCACCAAAAATGCAAAGATTGAGTCAGGTCCAGGGTTGTCACCAAGATTTCAAGTTGCCGGGTAAATACAACAAGTAGGCAGGGAATCAAATGGCCAGGGATTTCTTTTGGTTCTATTTTTCTTCTATTTTCCGATAAAAGTAGGCGGGGGCTACTCTCTTAGTAGCCGGGCAAAATCCCCGGCCCCCGGCTCTTAATGACAACCCTGCAGGTCATGTTAGGGAGGTGGTCACTTATTGAATTGAACAACAGTGGGTCCCTTCCTAAAAGAGTGAGATCCCAACACATCTACATTTTGGAACAGAATTCATCGCATGGAATTTCTAATCTACAATATTATATGGGTATAGTTTCATCGTGTCACTAAAAGATTTTCACATACTTTGAGTGGTGTACTACATACAACAAACAACAAAAAAATCACTGACCATGATACAAGGAAAACAAATTATGTCATTATTGTGTACTGCTCAGACTGTTTGGAATAACGGCCTTAAGAAACACGAGTCTGATTCGCATCTGTGGCTTCGTATGGGAAGTGTATTATGGGTAGGTGACCATGTTTGTGATCAGGTACATGTAATATAATAATTATATTACATCATAAGGTGACAAATGATTTGATTTCTGCAGATCTGGAAATAATCCCAGGAGGGGGTGGTAAATTGATTTTCAGTGGCAGGCAATGGGGATGCCTATTTGTCGGATTTACGCTTATTTGAGGGGGAAACACTTATTTGAAGGGGTCGCTTATTTCATTTTTTAGTATTTCAGCCTCAAGATAGCATTTGTCTTTCTTTCACACAGACAAAAAAACTAAGTAATGAAACTACAACATATTTTTCAATAAATACCCAAGTGTGTTATGATCATGTCCTTTAGCTTAGAACTTTTCATTAAAACTATCCTAAAGCACTATATTGAGAGGAGCTGAGTCATTAACATCTGATCGTGTGATGTCCCCAAATAAGTTATTCTCTTGTGACTGTAACTTTTATGCTACCCTTTTGAAGGATAAAAGTCCAGTATACCATGTATTTAGTAAGGCAGGGTGTTAAAGGTGTCACTTATATGAAGGGGAGGGCCGGAAGCTTAAACGAACACTATCCCATTACTGCACCTGCCCCTATTCTCTTGTGACTGTAACTTTTATGCTACCCTTTTGCAGGATAAAAGTCCAGTATACCATGTATTTAGTAAGGCAGGGTGTTAAAGGTGTCACTTATATGAAGGGGAGGGCCGGAAGCTTAAACGAAAACTATCCCATTACTGCGCCTGTACCAAACTTAGATTTTCTGACAAGATGTACATGAGAATTCAAAAGATCCACATAGTGTTATCGAACCGTCCAAAATCTTTGCATCATGCTCAACTGAGTTACACCACTAGACCTTCTCAAAACTACAAATCAATGTTCCTATTAACTTTTGATTTTAGTGAAATTGGGAGTTTTATCGTTGCTTTCATTTAGATACAACAAAGAAATGGACGAGACATGGATGCCACTGAAAAGATCTTGCAACGACACATTTGACTTAGTAAAATTAAAAAAACCTCCCTAACAAATATGACCAACTAAATTAACCAAACAGCTGGCCCTTGATGTATAGAAAAACACATGTAATGAAATCATAATAAATTATTATGTTTGACTGACTTTTGCGATGCCCTCATCGTGTAAAGATTGCATTTTTATTTGTACCCTTTGAGCGTTTGAGGCTAGAACATGAGCAAATATTACTGGATTTATTTTGAGCTTGCTATAAGTTGAGCTCTGACATAATTTTTACAGCAGAAAAGCTGTAAAGCATGTGGAACAAGCTTTTAAGGTCGCAGTGCAGCTGAGGGAGTGAAAAAATCACAATAAATCTTTTTGTGCCATGAGCCAGTTATTAAATAAAATGAAAAGAAAAAAGAAAGAAAAGAAAATCCTTTTGCATCTGAGTGGGACAGTTCTGTTGTGTTTTCAAGAAAAAACACAACACAAGGTGTTTGCGTGTGCACATAATCATGATAGGGCCCTTTCAGTATTTACTTTAATATTTGAAGTCCAAAAGAGTGGTACTAATTTGAATGGGGTGCCTATTTGAGGGGTGGAGGGTGGAGAGGGGGGTTAATTTGAGCATTTAGGGTAATTAGTGCCTTGGGGCTGTGTATCTTAAGCAATGCATTGATGTCTTGATTATTGTTTTTATTGCCCAACTTCATTGTCTCAGGAATTCCCTTTTACCGTAGTGAATTCTTCAGACTCAGCAATTCAGCAGAGAAATTTTGGGAGTTAATTTTTTGGTCCAGGGATTTTTTCAAGTTTTGTTGGAAGCCCTTTTGATTTTTGCTCTTTTTTTGGCTGGCTTTAAATCTGGGGTACCCCTGGGGCAATGAGATTATTATTACACCCTGTAGCCTAGGTCTTTCTCCAGGGTAAGGTGGTCTGCCCATATTTATGGCTAGTGACAGGCCAGGCAATCTACCCATACCCATACAGGGAAATGGTGGATCTAAAGGTCTTTGATATACTTCCAGTTCTTCTGCAGTTGAAATAACAGGTAATTTGAACGGTTATTCTATGTGTTCCTATTCCAGATAAAGTCAATCGAATGCACCCTTACGTATATTTGGCCACTTCATTTCGGCTTTAAAGCTGAACGAGGAATAACAGAGAGCATGCTTGTCATTCAAAGAGATTCAAATCAGTGGCCGGGTATTCTAAAGTATATGATTAGTAGTGATATTTGGCATAAATACCACAAGTGATATTTCAAAATTGTCTTAAATTTCACTCGCCTAACGGCTCGTGAAATTTAAGACAATTTTGAAATATCACGAGTGGTATCTATGCCAAATATCACGTACAAATCATGCTATTATTTGTTTATACTACTACCCACAAAAGGTTTGTAATTTTCACATGTAGGTTTTTCAAATTAAGCTGAAATACCACTGCTCTAAGCCAATCAAATTGCAGAAATTTCTGATGTAGTAGTACCATGGAACGAGTTTTAACACGAGCTGCAGACACGAGTGAGCGCAGGGGGTGAGCTTTCTCATACCTCAACAACTTGGTCGTATTAAATACCATAACCATGCACGTTTCAAGCTCGAGTTCAAACTCATTAACCATGATGGAACATACTTCAACCAAGCAACTCAGTCGTATGAAATACCTTAACTAGGCACTTTCTATGAAGCATTCTATATGTAATATACAACTCTTACCTAAGGCTGCTGATCTGAGGAACAAAGCCTTTGATAAATTTCGTCTTAACCCATTCGCTCCTGGAGATTTTGCCGAAAAACGCGTTTTAAAGCTAGTCGAGTGGTTTTCTGGTAACTGTCGTGCTATAAAGAGCTAAAACTTACCCCAAACCGGTTTACAGGTCGTACACTTCATGGCCTTTTGATCCAGATGCAAAATATCAGCTTGCGAAGTTCGGGCATGCGCAGAAAGCAAAATTTCGCTTTCTCTCCTCCCCTCTTTTTTCGCTTTTCTAGCCTCATTTTTTTTTTCTCTTGCTGGGCATTTAGTAGGCTTCATTTTGGTGGGAATAGTTTTTAGGAAAGCTTTTAGGATCTTAGGATTAGGTCAAAGGAAAGGTAGGTGGGCAATGGAACAAGATTTCCATGGAGATTTTCAGGTCAATGTTACATGGTTTTTTGCCTCTTTCTCCGGTGTCCTTGACTGAATTGTGCTCATTCTGGTATGGTTTGAAAGATCTCTTCACTCTACACAAGTTAGAGGAAAAAGTTGTCCTTGACCGTTAAAACTGATGACGTCACAAAGGGTAGAAAGGACGTAGATCCGCACGGGCGGTTACGGGCGGTTCAGGGGCGAATGGGTTAATCAAAAAACCTAAAAATGGCCTTTTACCAACTTTTTCTCCTGATTTGACATGAAATAGACAAATTTGGTTGTTTTATCCCGAAAAGTGGATTTTTTCAAAAAGTTTGGTACTTTGCTTAATATGGTGCAATGAAATCTTGGCTGCCTTCCAGTTAATTCCCAACTCGTCCCCAGGGTCTTCTCGCTTTCCAATATGGCGGCGGCCAGCTGTCGTTGCAGTTGTGTCCTCCGTTGCAGTTTGGTCCTCTCACCTATCAACCAATAGAATGCGTTTTTAGCGGAGCTCCACGCGCGCGCTTCGCGCGCGCGTGGGCGGAGCGCCATGGCTAAGTAAATCTACCCATCCCAGAAAATTTGGTAATCACGTGACCGTAAACCGACCGCCGACCGACCGTCCGCACCACAGGACAACCAATGTTTACTCTCACACATTTACCTAGTTTGGGAGCCCAAGAGAAAACTAATTGTACATCAATGTTGTGATCAGGGGGGGGTGGTGAACTTGGTAGTTTGTTTGTCCTGACGATCTTGGCCATCGTGACGTCACGAAGAGAGAAGCGCGCAACTTCGAGGAGTTTTCGAAAATGGCGCCGTTGCCATTTCCAAATGCTACTTTTAAAGTTGGTTTTCCTGGATATTGACGCTCTAAAATGGTTTTTGTCACGGTAGGATAGTGTAGTTCCAACATCTCTTTCCGAGAAGGTGAGTGAAATGTGTATTAATCCGAAAAATAACGCGTATGAGAGCTGTAAACAGTTTCGGTCAATTTCCTCGAGTGCAATAATGTGCCGCAAAAGTTTGCATGTTCGCACAGTAATATCACATTTTCTCGAAATCGGTGAGGTGTTGAACATCGAAACTTGGCATAAGGGTGGGTTACTTCTATTGGAAAGCATTGTCTCTGAAGTTAATTGAGATAAACTAGCAGAAAAAATGATCAGTCCATTCGAGTGTGCCAGCGTAGCCGCTAAGGTAGAGGGAGAACTGATGCAATTGTATTCATTACTTTGCTGTTATCTCCAATAATGCCAATAGTATCACCTATTCAAGCTGTCTTTTCGGGATAAGTAAATTTTAAAGTAGTTTCTGATAGAGGGAAAGTATAGTTGCAACAGTTCTTTCCGAGAAGGAGAGTTAATTGTATTATATTCTGTTGATAATTACCTCGTAAACAGTTTAAGCCAAGTTTTTCAAGTGGAATATTTGTCGCAGAAATTTGCATGATCGCATATTAACATCGCATGTTTTAGAAAATCGGTTTGGTGTGGAAATTCGAAACTTGGCAGAAGGGTAGGTCAGCAATAGTGGAAAACATTGTCCTTGATGTGTAATGGGAGAAATTAGCAGTAAAAATGATCAGTGCATTCGAGTGCGCTTAATATTGATATAAACAGATGACCTCGACTCGGTTACCCCGGCACAATGTAAGTCAATTATTTTTCGGTGTTAAGAAAAAGGAAACCAAAGACTTCCCTCAACACTATGTATCTATAATAATTACACCAGGAATATATATATTTTTAACACTTGAAGGATGTACCATCTTGTTGAAGCAAAGGATATTTCTCTGTAATACCTATAAGCTTACATTAAGTTTCCATAAATAGCAAAAAAAATTAATAAGATTTACATGCAGCTCCAAACATGTACATCTGTTATGCATGAAGCAATTTCATATCGTTCCATATCAATAGTTAGTGCGAATGGAGTCAAACATGTACAGTGAAACTTGTATAATTTAAGCGGACACCTCAGAGAATGCTGTAGTGCCCACTTGATACAGAGTTTCTTCCTACTACATACAGGTTTCGATAGAAAATGTCATATGAGGCAGACCTGCCAACTCTCACAATTCTACCGTGAGACTCACGATTTTTTAACTTTTCTCACGGTCTCACGACAAGACTCCCAATCTCATGGTTTTCTGGGAAATATTCTAAATTGAAATATTACCTTGTTGAATAAAATATAAATTTTGTGGGGAAATTCTTGTGCCTGGATAAGCTTTGACTATTTTAGCCATGAAGTTGTTTTAGCCCAAAGAAATGACTCTGCTGTATGTTTCGTCACAGTGATAACCTATTTTTTGGCATTTTAAAGTCATCCAAAAAAAGCGGCATCTAATTTGTTATATAAGGGACCACACTAAAGCAAGGTTAACAGTTGATTCCCCTAATGGAAAAGGGGAAGTTTAATTTTGATCGGCAAAAAATAGAATCTCGCTACTTTTTGTAGAATCTCCCGATTTGTTTTCATGAGTCTACAGATTTCCTTTATCAGAGGTTGGCAGGTCTGTATGAGGAGCTAAGTACCATTCAAATAAAAGGCGGAAACATTTGGAATACTTCCAGAGATATGATGATATACATTTGCATTAATATCTTTATTTGTACGGAGCAATTAATTAAACCTAGATTGTACCTCAAATTTTAAGATATCAAATGAGTGAAACAAGCTTTATACAAACAAAAATGAAATGAGAAAGTACTGTAACTCATTCATATAATTTACAGAAGTCCCCTGGTGACACCAGCCAAGTGCTGATAGGGGAAGACTCCCAATCTCATGGTTTTCTGGGAAAGCAAAAGGCATCTTAAAATAACAAAAGGCACATAGGGCTCAGCCGAATGGTACCATAATGACGTCAACACGTATGGAAACAGGCCTTTTCTCCGAAACCCGCCCCACTCCCCTATGGCTATTTTTACCTCACCTCACCTCCCCGTACCTGATGAAACAAGGCTTTCAACAGTTTGTTGAGATAGGATGCTTTTTGTTTTAAAGGATGAGCTCATCATATTTTATTATCGTAGAGACGGGGGTAAGATAAGTTAATAATAATAGACAGATTATTATAGGTGGGTTACTCATTTTTACAGCTATCCCTGGAAGAAGAAATAGAAGTAAGGAGCTGACTGGCAGCCACTGAGATTGAGGAGAGAAAGGAAATTGAAAGATAAGAGAAAGAGTTGAAAGGAAAAGAAGAAAGGTTAAGACAAAAAGCAAAAGAAATTAAAAACACAGTAATAGAGGCCAAGCGGGTAGCTGCCCAACTGCAACTAATGGCAGGGCAGCTAGACTGCTTGGCTAACCAAATTCTAGAAGAGACCAAAAAGTTAAAGAAGAAGTAAAAGAAAAACACCAGTGTAAGAAAATTTTATTGATAACAAACCGTTTCTTTCAATCAAAGTCAATGTGCAAAGTTTTTAAATGT